TGTCTTAAATGAATAGTTAGTCATTTTGGGAAATACATTTATTCACATTCTTGCTGGGAGTTGGAAGAGAAGATTGATACCAATCTATTTTATATATGCTAAATATGAAGTTGCAGCCAGTAGCCAGTTCGCTTAGCTTAGAATAAATACTGGTAACAGTTAGCCTGGCTCTGTCAAAATATAAATCTGCAAAGAAGTACCTTAAATGCTTACTAATTAACATGCTGTATTGCCTGACAACCTCACTGTTATAGTAAGACAAAGGTTTCCGGTTTACACTAAAACAGGGTTTTCAAACTCAAAATTGATACAACTTTGTCTCCCCATTGTCTTTATACATTCATGTGCCTCCCTTCCAACAACTTCCATGGAAAAACATTTCTCATGATGCTTTGGGGGATGTAAACAGGAAGTATAATCTTGACATGAAGTCAGTGAGGTGGCTGTAGAAAACAACTTGAGCCCTGTGAAAATCAATGGATCATTTTTTTATAAATCAAGTTCTTAGTAAAAACACTTAAATAGCCCTTATTAAAAAAAATTAGGTCCTAATTTTAAATTCACTGATTGACAAATCCAGAGTCATTTCCCTAGTTATATTAATGTCGTTCAGACCAAGCTGTTGGGCTGCTAAAGGAGACGGTAGGGCCCCATGAATGCAGAAGAAATTAGTAATTTTGTACCCGACAGTTGATCTTTTTTGGCTTAATGCACTACTGAGACAGCTATGTTTAAACACACTCATACATCTCCTCAACCAGTAGATCATTAGCCTACTAAAAGTTCACGCATCTCTTCTTTGATATGTCAGATGCTCAACTCCTCTTTATATGTTTAAATTTAAGAAAAGTATTTGAACTGCTGCATAAATCATCAGTGAGACAGTAAAATATGAGTTCAATTAATCAATTTCCAAATGGTATTTTTTTCTGTCAAAGTAGTTACCAACACAACACATCTTTGCTGTCTATTGGTGACCTTATGGCCTGCATGCTTGGGTAGTCATTTGCTGAAACAGAAACAGAAAGTACTATTTACTGAAATTAATTGGATTCTAAAATTGTCCAGTTGTGTTAAAGTCAATCAAATATTCTGAATGTAAAGATAAAACACAGAATACATGGAGTCAGTTATATTAAATAAAAATCTATGCCAGCAGATCTGACGGTTCAGCTGCACATACAGCACTCATACTGTATTTCTCCAAATATACAGTGAAACGGAATTAATTCTTTCTACGGTCACAGGGTTTTGCCAAGAGCAATCTAAAATTATCAAGAGGATCCCGCAGAAAAACTCAGCTCTCTCTCTTTGAAATCTGTGGAGTTTTTTTGTACTTCATTTGGAGTTCTTTCACACTGCTTTTCCATTATTGAAGCACATAAATAATTTTACAGACAGAAAAAGATATTATAATGAATAATTCTGGTTCACATGTGAAGCTGTTTCGTGTTGTCCCCATTGCTGTTGTCATGTGAAAATAAATAAATTGATGTTTGGGGGAGCTACTAAGATGAATGCAATGTGACAATGCAGTAAGCTTTATTTCTCTGTCTTTTTTTGTCAGCCAGACGTTCTGATGCCTCCCCTGACAAAACGTGACAGTGAGCCAAGTTTAACAATTTATAGATTACAGGTAGCAAATAACACATTAATCTCAACTGAGGTTGACACTACCTGTTTCTTGCATGTGTCCCTTTCTCCTTCACGTATTCTTTTGGTAGGGGAGGGGTCTTCTTCATTTTTTTGTGTGCGGAACATTTGCATTGCACCACATTTCTGTGATCTAGGTCCTGTAATCTGCTGCAACACTTGTAACACATAATGGACAAATAGGTTCTAGAAACTTAATTACCTTAATTACAAAGAGAGTTTATAGAATTTGACTATGCATATTTACCGACAGTATATTTGAATATAAGGTATAATGTAGTTCTTTAAATATGGGGATCAATGTAACCCAAATATAGCCTAGCATTAATGTAATTATATAACAGAATGTATTATTTATGTGGTCTGTGATAATATTTGGTGAATTACAGTATTATTTACATTCAGTTTGAATGTTTTTTGTTGTTTAAATTTAAAAGTCTCTCTCTCTCTCTCTCTCTATATATATATATATAT